ACATTAGTAATATCACATTAATTTAATGTCTTCGATAATAAATGGCACAGATCCTGACTGTTACATTCAAAACTGTCCGTGAACTTCATTCAATGGTTTGCATTATTTGAACAGGAATAAACAAAATAATCGTTTCTGCACGAACAATTGCACAATCAATATTTATTCTGGATTACGTTTTAGAGAGTTTTATTTGATATGTTGAAAACAACTTTTTCATGATGAATGTTTGTAATGTATATTAAACATGAAAATCAACCATTTGCCTCAAGGAATTAGTTTGTAGCATATCCCCATGATCAGTAAATGAAAATTTAATCATTTTGATTTTTTCCGCCGCTTTTTCAATATGTTTTCATTTCTGTTTTGGACGTTCTTGAAAGTACTGTTCCAATGTATTTATATGTGATTGTTTGGAACTCGTGGCAAAGATATACCGGCCTGTTAAGCTTCAACGAAACATTTCATACACAATTCCGCAGTGGTTTAATCAATGAACTGCTTCTCAGACACTGCAGAGTAAACAAAACATCGAAAATCATTCTGCACATTGTACAGGGTGTAACTGAATAAGTGTAAAACATTCAAGGGGGTGATTCCTCATCGAAAAAAGATAGGATCTTTCATATAAAGAAACTTCATTGGAGCATCCCTTGTTAAGATACAGCCCTTTAAAGGGGGTACATGAAATTTGTATAACAATTTTTTTCACAAGCACTGAAAAAGTAACAATATTGAAGTTAACCTGATGTTTTGTACTACCAAAAAGACACTTAGCCAGTAATTTATTTGGTTTACAACATGGCTTACAACCATGTTGTAAACAAGCCCAAAAATTTATTTCCAATATAACTTTTCGTTTTATTATTTGTTTACCATTTAAAAATTCATTTCCGATAGTCTGTTCCATTCTAAACAAAACATGTCTCTTGGGTTTTTTGCCCAAAAATAAACCAGTTCGCAGCAAAAAATTATTTTACGAACAACTACAGATATATATCGTCATAAATGCGAACTGGATTTATTGTTATTTTGTAGTTAGTACCTGCATTAAACGATTGAAGGGTAGTCAACAAAACTAATTGTTCAACACACAACATGTAGAAATCATTATAAATATTCAATATGTCTATCTTCAGACATTACGCATGCGTCTAGACGTTGGCGCATTGAGTCACGTATTCGCTCAAATATTTCTGGAGTCTCTCTGATTACCTGCACGCATCGATAATGCGGTTTCTTAAGTCATCTACATCGCGAACAGGAGTACGATAAACCAAATGCTGTAAATGGCCCCAAATAGAAAATAGGATTGAGATCCGGGGATCGAGCGGGCAGTTCTGTGGTCCTCCTCGACCTATCCACTGATTTGCATATGTTAAATGCTGACGCTGAGAGAAGTCCATCCAGCAGTACTGGATACACTTCTCTTAAAAATTAAACGTATGCCTCACCATTTAGTCGAGGAGGTAGAACATGAGGCCCAATTAAATCATCCCCAATAACTCCGAGCCACACGTTAAGAGAAAACTGTTCTTGATGGTTAGTTTCGACAATACCGTAAGGATTTTCATCAGCCCATATGTGGTAATTATGAAAATTAGAAATCTTGTTCCGAGAAAAACTACATTCGTCTGTGAATTCAGAAAGTCACAATTTCTTCTAATCATTTTCAGCATATTATTCGTTTTTTTAAGATGCTAGGTACAATTGGAAACTAAATAACATCGAAATGTATAGAAATCATCCCTTAGAATTCTGACCAAGCATAAAAAAGCTTTTGGACTATTGATTTCGATAAAACCCGTTTCTCAATATCATACAGAATGTTCAAAAATCATTGAGACTCACTGTTTATTAAAACAAACTTGAAATGATGATTTAATAAGGATCTCTGTTCAGGTGGATCTCCGCCATATGGACGAAATGAAAGGTTTGAACATTGTGGACATCGGTATCGACTTGACCGAGTTCTATCCTTCCGTAGAATGGGATATACTCGAAGTTCCGGCAGTAAGGTAAGATTCACTAGGAAATATATTCAAAGTCAAGTACTCTCCATTTTTTTTATTAGGAAATCGTTCAACAAAAAGGAATTTCATTGTTACCTTAATCTCAGTTCAATTAAATGTTGGGATTCAAAACAAATGTGCTTTTCAATAAGGTATCCAAGAGAAAATCATTGAGTATTACTTGCCAGACTCATACTCCAAAATTTTGGAGATATCAAGCAAAACCATCTGAGACTTATCATGTTTTTCTATTGCGTATTGTCAAAATTAAATAACATATGACAGAAATATATAAATATATCATTTTAATAAATTGATGGATGTAGCCGTTACTACGTGGTAGGAAATCATAATGAAAAGAGAAATGAAAATTTCTATGTTTTTTACCACTTTTATTTGTAACTAACATTACTGCAGTTTCGTCCTATACGGACATTTTCAAACTTATACAATAAACTAACAATGATTCATTACATTCACCATTATATACCACCCCTGTAGGTACTAAGAGAAATAGAGGTACTTGACTTGATTGAGTACCTGAATTTACAGTTCACAATGCGGATGTGCCAATTTAAAAACCGGAAAGTAAATTAAATCGATTTGATCATTCAACAGGTTGCACCCGCAATGTTCATGCTTGTGAATTTCCAAGGATTCTAAATGATTGTGTTTGCAACCCTTCCTTGCATAGTGCAGAATTTCCGTATCGTTTAGATTCGGAAACTTGTGGTTGCATGCCAAGGAATGGCTTGGAAACGTCGAATCATTTTTTCCTAGTCTGAAGGACCTTTCATGTTCAGCATACCGTTTTTGGAAATTTCGGTCACATTGTCCCACGTAAACACTATTACACTCCGGACACTTAAGCTTATAAACTCCTGATTGTTCCAACTTATCGACCTTATCTTTGGCATTGAAAAGGAAATGAGATAACCTGGCATATGATCTGAATGCTACTTCCACATTGTTTTTTTCTGAAGTTTTCTGTTCTTTTTCCAAAATATGTTAGCGTTACCTATTTCTTGATTTCTGGTTGTTTGACCTGAGGGTATATTAATCCTTAAGTGAATTTTCGGTTTGGTTCCTGACTAACTTCTGGATAGTATCTGCGTTGAAACCATCATTATGACCTATCTGTGTAATTATATCAATTTCCCTAGATAGATTGTCTGCAGACAAAGGCAGTGAGAGTGCTCTGTGCAACATTGAATTGTAGGCTGCTAATTTATGACTGTTTCGATGGAAAGAATCGCTTGGGATGTTGATATCTGTATAGCTAAATTTTCTGAAAACATTGAACTCAAATTTATTCTGATTGTGTGTAATATCCAGATCTAAGAAATGTATCTGTCGACAAGTTGGAATAATCTGGAGTTTATAAGCTTAAGTGTCCGGAGTGTAATAGTGTTTACGTGGGACAATGTGACCGAAATTTCCAAAAACGGTATGCTGAACATGAAAGGTCCTTCAGACTAGGAAAAAATGATTCGACGTTTCCAAACCATTCCTTGGCATGCAACCACAAGTTTCCGAATCTAAACGATACGAAAATTCTGCACTGTGCAAGGAAGGGTTGCAAACTCAATTATTTAGAATCCTTGGAAATTCACAAGCAAGGAGAATGCTGAAAATCAAAATAATCAGAACGAAATATTCGATTGAGTAAGTTGTGTATAGTAGTTACCTCATCTCGATTTTGTAAAACTTTTCCCAATTTTGTGAAACTTGAACTCGATTGAGGAAACACTTTGGGAGAATATGTACAAAATAATACACCAAAAAGTGAGGTGAGGTAAGTTTAATCTTCGTCTTGAAGATGATCACTTGGTAATCGAAACACGTGTAGAGGTGTTGAAAATGACGATTTGGTGTAGGGAAAAACTCCAGTAATATTAATTACTACACCAAAGGTTCCAAACAGTGCATCACAAGATCATATGCTTTGTTTTGCTGATGTTCATTTCCAGTTTATTTTGATTCATCATTTCCAAAATTTTAGATAACTTACGATTGACTGAATTGATCGTATGCATACAGTCCTTCCAAATACAATATTGTATCATCTACGAAAAAATGAAACCTACAAATCCGAATAATTTATGTACAAAATAAAACGTGAAGGACCTTATTCGTTATAAAACAAAAAAAGAAAATGAATTAGTAATAGATTAAACAATAACTGAACGGTCATTTGTAGAAAATCAATGAAAAAATCAAATGAAAATACTATGAAATAAAGTAATCAAGATAAATATTGAAAAAATTTCAAATAACAATATGACTTTTAATCGGGGTCTTCACGATGTTTCAGTTGGAAGTTTCCACAATCGTCTTCGATTCGAGATGTGAAAACTATTTATAGTTTCCTTGAGTGATTTCACCTTCCCCCCCCCCTGTTTTTAATGACAAAACACAAGCACTACAAAAATCCTTAAGGCGCTCTCAGAGCGGTGCCTATTCGAAAGTAGCGATTCACATTGGATTTGAATCGCTGGTGATCAAATCCATTGGGAAAAACATTTCCAAGCGGATTTATTCCACATAAACAGTTCTCCAGATGAAAGAGTTCTTGAACAGTAAAGTTCAAAGTGTACTGAGTTGAACCTCAAAACGGTGAGTAGCCACAGTCCGTCGCGTATTTCGGATATGTACCGCTCTTGGTGAAATCAAATATGCCAAGTCACTTCAACACCTCGCGTGAAAGTATCTATAGAATAGAGACAAATTTCCAACCTTTCTTCGATGTTCCAGGCTATCAAGGCTGCACGTGATGTTATCGTCTTCAATCAGGCGGATGGCTCTGTTCTGGGTATGTTTGGGGGCAGAGCTATATACATGAGATCGATACTCCGAAAAAGGTCTGATCTGAGCTTTATAAAGCATCAAAAGTTGCTGAGGTGTGAACAGTTCTCTGATTCGGAACAGTGTTCCAAACTTATGAGAAGCAGCCTTTGCAATTCCAGCGACATGATTGTGCCAAGACATATTGGTTTCCAATATAACCCTTCCTTATCTACTCTCACTTTCCGGTTCAGTACAACGTAGACTGTTTTCCCACTTGATTAGTGATTTCCATATGTTGCGTGTCCCCACACTAGCTCGGCTAAATTCGCGTAAGTCAACATATATGCAGCTTCTTTAATCTTACTCTTAACCAAATCTCTGTTTCGGGACACTTGAAGTTATGTTAAAGACCCCAAAAATGCTCCTCTATTACCGATTTACTACTTTCTCTTCTTGTGCTCGCATTGCCGTCTTTCAACGGCCTCTCAGTTTCACCGTTGCACTCATAGTGTATCTGATAAATGTGTGTAAAATACTATGTACGTGTTTGATGGCCTGTACTTGGACCAAATTCTATTCATCATCTACGAGAGTCCTCTGACATAAGAAATGGATAGCGCTGGTTGTGACGGCCTATCTTCCTTAAAGGAGCTCTTGTCTTCTGACTTCTAAACAAAGTCTGTTCCACCAGCTACTCGGAGTTACCATTTTTCTGAAGATATTTCCTAATGTGATCTAATTTCTTGTTGAGACTTTCATTTGTATTACAGAGCGGAATGCACGATTAATTAGGATTCCTCTTTTGGTATATTGGTATGGAAAGATCAATTTAGAATGTTCTGAAACATGCCGCAAAAATTCATGAAATCAATAATTCAATAATTGACATTACTATCGAAGAATATAGAAAGGGAACCGAAGTTGTGCATTGGAACTTGTCTATTTTAATGTATCTTGGGAGCTCGCTATAGAAATTTCGACAAATTTTCTGTTGTGGATTAGATTTTGACACTCCCTAGGAAAGTGTTCTGCCATCATCAACTCTCAGTATCCGATCTACACATTTGACCAAAGTGAATCCATTGTTTCGTTCCTAATCTAATCTTCGCCAGAAGTAATACTATTCGCAGTGCATCATTTTGCGTAGACAGTCTCGATTATTTCAAGTTGGTTCACCTTCATGAAAAAGGTGGTTGTATCTGCAGACTCTAAATATTGGAAGCAAAAATCCGCCAAATAATTTGTTATTCCCCAAATTAGATTATAATACGATTAACTAAGTACTTTTTGCAAACAGATTGATAATGTATTGTAATGAGGAGGAATAGTTTCGAATAAGAACTACTGCTTTATAGTTCAATTTGGGAGGTACAGAATAGATATTAATTGAGAAATGAAATGAAAGTAACTTCTATGCATGATCTAGACATCTTTGTGAATAGTTTATTTTGAAAAATTAAATACAAATCAATTCACTTAGTTTGTTATATGAAAAAATTACTTCAAAGGTGTGACTTCGTTTCCTCCTATTCATCAAAGAGAACATATTCCTCTCCGCTCATAAACGATTTTGGTAAAATTCAGGACAAGCGTGAATCGTATTCGTGCCACGTGTGTCTGCAGTATGCTGTGTAATGCCCGCAGTAAATAGTCCCACTGTGATTTGAAAGTGCATTTAGATTATGACGACATTGTCTACTGCATAATTGTTCATATCTAATCCTTCTGAAGAAAAGTCGATAGCAACATTTAATTTGCCTCTGAATCTTTCCGTTGGGAAAAAATGTTTAAATGAATCACTAAAATACGATAAAACTTATGGATTAATAGATACGTTATGCAGTTTCTCCTCTCCATGCACCTCGAACACCTCTGTTTTTCATCTCCATCCAGAGTTTCCTCTCTTGTGAAAGAATCCAAGCATTGCGACAAACTCATTTGTCCAGTTCTTTGTGGTATGGGGATAGACAAATCCCAGAAAGTATCAAAGGTTACTGATGAGAGTCCAGAGTTTGGGTATTTCATCCTGGATTTTAGTTGACCAACGAAATTGTCTACATAAAGTACATCCTAAATATTATAGCCGGGACTCTTGTGCTTTCCCGCTGTCGCTTAATTTTTCGTGTATCTCCGTTGAGAGATNTAAATGATTTTCAATTGTATTTTCAGATTTCATACTAATTTTAAAATTTTTATTTTCTAGAGTCTTGCATAGTTGTGGTGTCAGACCTGCTACATACGGTAATTTGAAATATTCAATGTTCAACGGTGTTTTTTCTTTTTTTTGTTTATTTGTTCTGTCTGAATATACTAATTTTTTAATTGAATATCTCGGATAGCAATTCTTAAGTAACATAGTTTCTATTAGTTTGAGGTTTTGGTTTTTAAAATTTAGTACATGCGAGTGACGCAACACTATTGTCAAGTCAAGTAGTAAAACTGATGCTATTTTATGTGAATTTTCTCCGATCTTGATATATTGTCCCGTTCAACAGTTAATGGCCCCCCTTTTACCTATTGAACGAGACAATATATAGTCCCCCGCCCCGACTATTTACATCCGCATTGTAGGCAAAGCCGGATTCAGGGGAGAGCAGGCGGGGCTACCGCTTCGGAGACTCCACAGGATTGCAAAAAAAACAGGAGCCTCCACTTCTTCGTTAACCACGGACCTCCAGACTTCCAAATCCGGCCCTAATTGTGGTTATATTCGAAAGAAGTTCGAAATATTCAAGTTGTTTACATGCCTTTTATCAGTTCAATAGCAATCAAATTTTGCAACGCTCCTGCCTCAAAAAATATTTTTTTAAAAATTGGCCTCGTTCCAATATTGAACACAAGCCGGACTTCCTTATTAGCTGAATTTACCCGAAAATGTCATATTCATTCGAAATGACCACCCGAAATTATGGCTGTTGTGAAATTAATCGGAAAAATTAAATCAAATTACCTTTTTCGCCGGAAAGTGTTCCCGTGCTCTTTTTGTGACATGGGGAGAGTCTCGAGTCGGCTTTTGTGTCCCGGTTTTTTGCTCTCTCGAAATCCCGAACAATCTATTTAGTGCTCCTCAAGGAGATTCGCTGATTATAAGTCAGCGAATTCCGTTACTTCACAACTTTCGTCGGAGCGTCAAGAACGGAAAAGAATCTTTGAAGAAAATGCCATTCGCACATTGCGAATGCTACTTCCAGAAGAAAGTTGATCTCAGTGGGAGGCAATGTTTCTACTCAAGATATTTTTGTCAATGAAACATAAAAACCATCGATGAACTCAATGGAGTTAAATAGGGATTTATGGAATTTTTGCGAGTTCGAATCTCTTTGCAGTTTGGAAAAGAAAGACTGCGACATACATCAGTTTGTGTATCCGATATAAGTCGGCAAACTTGATGAAAACGCACTGATGTGGATGCTTCTCCAAACATCCCTACTTTCCGAAAAAGAATTTCATATAAATGTAACGATTTTGGGTCAACTTCATGAAACTCATTATCACTTGGTATTCTGTGTACTTACTTCAAACATATTTTAAATTTCAACTCTGATATCTGGCAACTTGAATTTTTCAGTATGCGGAATATTAAACAGAGTCATCACCAATTTCAGGTTAACATTTGGGTTGACGAAAGAAATCACATATGTCATCAATTTGTGCATCCAATGTGAGTCCACAAACTGACACAAAGTAATCAAAGTGGAAGAATATTGCTACTGCTCCGAAAAACCTAACCTTTCGAAGAACAATCTGTTAAAATCTGTTTTTTCGTTAATCACCTGTCGCCCCCCTACAAACGACAACTCTCAAAAGTCGAGACTTGTGCGAGATGAGGACTAACGAGGTCTTACCTTTCAAAGTTTGATTCCTAACATCGGACCAAAACCTGTCATTGACATCGCTTTAGGTGGATGGCAAGAAGATTTATGGACTTCTGGCAGAATCTTGGATTGGATTGGATTGGCTCACTCCAAGGTGTTTATTCACCCTTCGAAACTTCATACCAAACAGTTGTTGGACTACAATAGGGATGAACTACGATGTCTAACAGGCCTGTCATTTGAATCATCATATGCAAAGACTCGAACTGTCGGAAGACAGTGTTTGTCGCCTCAGTTTGGAAAATTATGAAACAGCGGAGCACATACTTTGTGCCTGCCCCGCTGGGGCCCGAATCAGGTTTAAAGAGTTCAGCAGAGCCGTACTCTTACCATCTGACCTGAAAAACCACTCACTATACAAACTAATAGGCTTCGTTAAGAAGCTGGGTTTATTTGGCCGAGTGTGAATAGGTGTGAGCCACAATAAAGCCTTGCGGGTTGCGGTGGAGGGTCGAATAGACCCACTCACTTTGGACTTAAACTAACCTAACCTAACAAGTGCTCTCATTTTTTAAATTCATTAATAGTGAAAACCCCTTGTTGAGTTTTGGGTCGATTACAAAAAATTTGTCAACACTCCATGAATTCCGTTCATTTCTCTCAATAAATGAAAAGGAAGAACAAGTTGAAAGCTAGGTAACTTTCACATCGATTAAATATATTGGACCAGGAGCTCTGCGTATACGTATACGTATACGTAATTCTGCGAATCGTTCCTTTGCGAAGTTTTTTGAATTTCTCTTCTGGAATTAATCTCAACATATATACTTCGCATACCAAGCTCAATATATCGTGCAATTTAAGGGAGGAAAAATGTTGGTTTTAATCAAATGCTGCTGTGTACAATACATTCAAAATAAAATAATTCGACTTTCGGCCAATAAAAAAAGGTACACAAGATACAAAGATATAATGATACTTTTGATAGAATGGCATCTCTATTTTAAAAAATCTGTTGAATTTGGTACAATCTGTTTTTGCCGTGGACCAGCTGTCGCCCCCCTACGAACAACAACCCTCAGAAGTCGAAACTTGTACTAACCAAACATTACCGAGGTCTTGCCTTTCAACGTGCGATAGCAGAAACATCTAATTCAATTTTAGAAGTCCTAAGTAAAGTCATCTGAGTCTGCCAACGGAATGTAAAGAAATTCCAGGAGAGGAGAAAACAATTACTTATTCTACAAAAATATTTCATCCTCAAGAAGAAAACACATTTGTCAGCGTTGAAAGCAATTTCAGTTGGCATATGTCGACGTGAGACAGCAACAATTGTACTAAAATTCCTTCTCGGACACGAATAAGTACACACATTTATAGAGGTCACCCGTTTGGAGGTAAAGCTCAGGTGTATCAAATTAAACTCCAAAGTCGTCAATTTGAAAATATACAAACTACAAGAACTTCTCGAATTTCTTGATATTGTGTAAAACTAATAAATATAAACAGTAATAATAGCGATGATGTTTTTGGTATATTTTACAGAGAGGAACTACTTGTCCAAAACAAACACTGCTCTCAAACACCAGAACTGCAACACTCTTCATGAGACGCGCTTCTCCAACCAAGTTGGCATCATCGTCATCATGATTTCTAGATTCAAGAAACTATTGATGTATGTATACCCAGTTATATATGAATTGAGGCAGAATTAGAGTGGTTGGTGAAACAGGCGTCGAGAAGAGTGTTGCAGTTTTAGTGTACGGAGCAGTGTTTTTTCTGAATTTATTCCACGCCGAAGGTTCCATTTCTACTTTTCCACAGTTTGACCGCCAACTTGAAAAATGTTGATAAACCGATTTATTTCAGGTGAGTTTGTCCATTTCGATTCTCCTGTCGCTGACCGTGTTCTTCCTTTTGCTTGCCGAGATTATTCCTCCCACTTCTCTTGTGGTGCCTTTACTTGGCAAATTTGTATTATTTACAATGATCTTGGACACCTTCAGGTGAGTGAATTCTCTAAAAAATCAAGACGACACAAACTTGTTTCTTTTATTTGAGAACTGAATAATTGATAACACAACAATGAAAAACTGTATTGAATTTTTTAAAACAAATCGTTACAGATGATTCAAATGCAATTTTGTTCTTGCAGAATCTCAGTAGAACGTCAGTTCATATCTAATGTTATGGCAAAAAACATAGAAAGAGATTTTTGATGAGATATGTACATTCAATATTGTTATGTAACAGGTTATATAAAAATGTCACTGATTATTCGTCTGGTAGAATAGAATAATAGAATACTCGTAGAATAGAATATATATTTTTATCATCACTGAAACGTACATACAAAAAACACTCAGGAACATGTGGATGCTTACCATACTAGTCAGCAGTATTTCACATTGATTTAAAAGAAACTTTGAAGTAGTAAAATTGGACCCTCACAGTTCATATTGAAGTTATTCAGGATGAAAATGAAGGCTTACCGTTGGGATGTGCTCATGCTCGCAGATACTCTCCCAGAGAATGAAATTATCTTTGTTTTAAAAAGACATAGGTACAACTTATGTTTCAGTTCGTTTATATTTCCTGGATCTGAACATATTTCCAGATCATTATTGTTGCATGTAATCAATGTAATCTGCAAATAATCTTGAAAATGGTTGATCTACCCTATCCTCATTTCTAATATTAAAGTTATGAATGTCCTCATTTTTGGAAATATTTTGTTTTTTTTTATTCTGAAATCTAAGAAAAGATTGTATTTGTATAAACATGGTAAAGTTAGGATGCCAACACTTATGAATAATGTTCTACATGGTGCAGAAGGATGCACTCGTATCATAAATCTCAGATTTTTTTCTGTGTAACTAATGCATCATTGGCGTGGGCTGAGGATCCCCAAAAGAAAAGGGCATATGAGAGTTCAGATTGAACAAGGTTAAAGTACTCGTATATCATTTTTAAGATTCAAAAACTGACTAAGTAACGTAGTTGCCTAATTGAAAAGCACACAGAGCTCAGTTTACCACACACATTTTGGATATGTTCGCTACCCCTGAAAATTAAATTCAATACATTTGTTGAATTGATGATTGTTTTATTTGAATAGGTAGGCTGAAGTTCATGATGACGTTTTTAGACAAAAATACTATGAAATTGGTTTTTGGATATTTAGGAATGAACCATGTTTTGAACAGTAATAATGAAGGAGCTGAGCTTTATTGTTAGCACACACTATATATTCCTGTCACGTTGCGTCTTTTATGCAGGCGGTAGATAGTATCATCTGCATATAATATTTGAAGATCAGAATTTGTTGTTGTGCAAAGAAGATCGTTTAGAAATACTATTAATAAAAGCGGATCCAGAACTGATCCCTGTGGCACTCCCTGAGATACGATCCGGATGCTATGACATCACCACTTCTTCCTCAGCAGTGCTAGGTTACCATATCTTCAGTATTGCCTCAAATGTCGAAACTTATGCGACAAAATATGGTCAATGAAACCATAACCATCAACTAGCGATACCTAGCACGGTATTGCACTTTCAATACTTCATTCTGACGACGTTCACAATCAATAATTTTTGTTTTGTAAAATATCATCGTTTCAACTGATGGGAAATAATTTGAACATACCTATACCTAGCACGTTTTGTATTTTCATAGATTTTTCTGATTTTTCACCCCTTTTTTTAATTGTTATTTCCAAATAAAATAAAATAGTTTCATTTCGTGACATTTGAAATCCATTTCGAAAGCCACTGAGCCAATGAGCAGTTCTAGTAAAATTATTCCACATTTTTCAATTTTTCTTGAAAAACCACGTTTGTTTTGGTATTTGAAATTGGATTATTCCCTCGATTTCTTTCTCTCATCTTCACATGAAAAAAAAATGGTTTACTTTGATAAAAATATCGTTGCCACCTCATAAAAAATTCGTCAAATTTAATTTTGTGTATTTTTTTATATATTTTGATACTGCTTGTGATCCGAAATACAATGGTGAAAATTGCGGATCGATAACATTTATTATTATTAAGATATGTGCCTTCAAAACTGCGCCTTTGTTGAAAACTAATGTGACGTCACAAGATATACGTCTGAACGACGAGCAACGCATTTAATGTTTTAGGTTTGAATGAATAAATAAAATGAAAATGAGCCTATTATATGGAATACCTTCAATTTTAATAGTTTGAAGATGACTTTAAATATCTTTATGTTTTTTTTTCAGTATATGTGTCACAGTGGTGGTACTAAACGTCCACTTCCGATCTCCTCAAACTCACGTAATGGCACCATGGGTTCGTCGAGTTTTTATCCATATTCTTCCAAGGCTTCTGGTTATGAGACGTCCTCATTATCAGCTGGACAGCAGAAGGTAATTATATCATGATATTTTTGTTTTATAAAATCTTTCAATGAGAATAATAAACCGTGTATCGAGAACAATCGTTAGCCCCAACCACGCATGCAAAAATTAAGATGAAAAAATGAAAACTAGAAAATGTAGCAAAAGTAAATCAATTGCCCAGACATTTGTAGTCTCATGAGTGTCATTAAAGATCTTTTATGACATTTGATATACCCACTTTAAATAACTGAAGAGACTATGATGAAAGTTATCTCGCGAACATGCTCGGTACAAAGTGCATTATCAATTTGAGCCCTCACGTCATGAGCTACTCATTATTCCCATAGAACTAACCTAAAAGTAACATCGAAACTGGTCTGAAAACCTAAAAATACGAACATGAATATATTTAATTTAAGATTCACAGGCAATGGAATAAAGGGACGGAAATAGCTCGGTCATGTAGAACGTAAGCAATTTATGGACAAACTTGGACACAAAGTAACTGTAATTGAATAGAACTGGCCGATACTTGATGAAAATCCATATTAAAAAACTAATCAATAGAGTTTATTGTATGATTTTCACTATAAGGGTTTTACAAAAACCGCGACACGTGTTTCGCTATACAATAGCTTCTTCAAGCAGTTATGCTTCTTCAAGCAGTTATGCTTGTCGCGGTTTTTGTAAAACCCTTATAGTGAAAATCATACAATAAACTCTATTGATTAGTTTTTTACAAAGTAACTGTACAAACCAAACCAGGAACAAGATTGTTGAAAGGGTAATCATGAAAAGGAAGGAGGAACTCTATCTTTCTATAAATAATCTCATATGTTTGAGATTGACATAATATATTATCCGGACTATGTTGAAGGTGCATTCGCAAAACTGAAAGCCATCCGACCCAATCCTTGATGATTCGAAAGTGATTATTTTCATTGGAGCAATTTGAAATGTTTTTTTCATTTTTCAGTCACCGTGTCATGGTGAGAACCTGTAATGGTTTAGAATTAAGAGATGCCGGACTGTACAGCGACTTGGGAGAACCGCCAATGGAAGAACCTTCCGGGTTCTTTCCGAATGCCAGTTCAATAGATGAGTTGACGCCAAGGTAACTAATACCTAAAAACAAAGTACATTCAAACCTTTTTTCCCACAATTGTATTTTATATCACTTGAAAACAAGAGAGGAATTCAAATATGTACATGTCAATGAGAAATATTATTATGATACTTCAATTTCTATTCAATAAATGAATCAAAAATTTTGTGGAAGCTGATCGAATAAGCGGGGTTCCAAAATTTCCACTTTTTGAAAATGTCATTCATTTTATCTGTTAAAATTTATAGTTACAAAGCCAAAAAAAGCCATAAAATAACATTGAAAACATCAGCAGTCTTCATGCTCTACCAATTATATTTTTTTATCCAATTATACGGAAGAAAGTAACTCAAACACATGCCTTCAAATCATTTTTTTGAATAATATCAAGAGTAGAATAGAATGGCACCTGTTATTTTATCCATCGTTTTTATCTCTTCAGAGAATTGGAAGCTGGCGCTCTGCGATCGTGCAGCATCCACGGTACGACGCCTCCTCCCGGCGTTGGTTTCCACCTGGGAGAGCACCTGGGAGGTGATAAGGGTATCGGCCATATCGAGGACCACCTGAACGAGGTCCTGCTCAAGGACTCCCACCCCTGGCACCACTGCCCCGAAGTCCACAAGGCCATCGACGGTGTCAGGTTCATCGCGGACCACACCAGAAGGGAAGAGGACTCCACCAAGGTAGGTGATGTTATGGGTATCAGGAGTCATAATGATGTAAGGATTTTTGAACGGGGGCTAAATTATATACACGAAATTGTGTTTTTTTTTAAGTTGGAAGTAAGTTTACTTTTTTATGTGTAAATTCAATAAGTGAGTTTCGAGGAAGCAGTTAATTCGTCTCTTGATATCAATTTAGTTGGCGAAACATGCACTAAGAGCAGTTTTTCACAGTCCTATACCTATGCAATTATTATGGTCTTCAGAGGACAGTTTCATTCAATACTTTCCAGCTCTATTTTGTTTACTGCCTTAACATTCATGTTTCGTCTCGTAGGAGACATTTTCAAAACATCCTTGCTCGATTTTCTTTTTCTTGGTTTTCACTAATTCTGAGGCTGTCTTTTTGACTTCTGCCTGTCAATATACGGCAGTAATGAATTGCTGCAAGACTTGTGGACTTGTAGACAAGAAAATGTTAATGTTTTCTAGCAAAACCAAAGATCGCAAAGTTTTGTTAGATGAAAATAAGGAATCGATTCTAGAGCAAGGTTTGGTGCTACAAGTCTCCGATATGGAAAGGCATTCAGGACCATTTCTGAAAATTTGGAATACAATTGATACAATTATGATATTAGTCATGGATGCATATATTCTTTCTTCAATAAAGTAGACTTCTACTGGTAAGTCATGCTTAAACAAAATATTTATTGGTGGTTTGCCAATGATCGCAACAAATACACAGTAAGAATAAACTAAAGTGGAAACTTGCAAAACCAGAGAATTCGACATAACCTGATGATTGCAACTCACGACGGTTCTAGATCTTTTTGGTGAGTGGTTAAAGCCGTTAAAAAATGTTCTGCAATCTATCACTAAAACTGAGTGGACAATGACAGGAACCACGACAGAAACAATTTACATGTCACTTTGTTGATTTTCTTGAAAAAAATAGAACCAGCTATTCCCTCTGTTCAACAGCTGTTAATCGAAGGAAACGTCTCAACATCAACAAAGCTAATGAAGATGAAAGTAACCAACCCAAGGGTCAGTTTTTTCTAAGGTGAATGTGTCAGAAATTGACATAATAATGTTAAGGCTGTGTCGATAAATTACTTGGCATAATAAGGTGCTTCTGGGAAACATGTAACACTCTTGTAGGTAGACACCTCAGTAACTTTAAAGCTCAGATTTGGAAAATTGTTCTGCCATAGCAAGATTGTGGGCTTTTTGTCTTTTGAAAAAAATTATTTACGCATCTCGAATGATCCTGTAAAACTTACTAGATATTTTATAAGTGTATTCCAATCAATCAATTCACCCGTTCACGTCATTTCATCGAATATTTTTTTTCAGGTGCGAGAAGACTGGAAATATGTCGCGATGGTCCTAGATCGCCTCTTCCTCTGGATATTCACCCTCGCCGTCTTGGTGGGGACTGCAGGCATCATCCTACAGGCGCCCACGTTGTACGATGACCGAAGGCCTATCGGCATCCGTCTCTCCGAAATAGCCTCCACAACCGCCAAGCCACACCTGGCGATATCTTTGTGAATTCCAATATTGCGAGAAAATCCACGCAAGCAACATCTTCGTCAAGTTTCGAAAGCTAGGTCGATTCGCTGGAAAGAATTGGTTTCGTGGCTTTATGAATCGGCGTGTGATGGATATATATTTCTTCAATTTTGTACAGAGTTTTTAGGTAGATACCAAGGGAATTTGGAAGTTATAGGAAAATATTCCCTTTTTTTAAAGGAAATTGAAGTATGCTTATTTAGGCTTGGTTGTGATTTTTTATCAAACTTTCACAACATGTGATAGAATTGGGCGATACTTGATGAAAATCCATAACGTATTCAAGTAACACTTCAATGTGGTATTTTCACTGAAAAGTTTACAAAACTGTAACACGGGTTGCAATAGCTTCCTTAGGCGTTTAAAGTCGTAACATAGGTATACACAAGTGACTCAGTAAAGTTTTAAAACCTGCGGACTACGGCTAAGACATCCGAAACTGATTGGTAATTTGTTAAAAACCGGCCGAAAAGCGACACTCCAAGATATATGAAGTGGTTCATACAGGAGGGTGCCCAAGAATTATGTTTGGCAATATATTTATTACGAATGAAAAGTTTTCCTTATCCAGGTATATATGAAAACTGTAATTGCCTAGTGCCAAAAATGAAAATGTTCTAGAAGTAAAAATACAGGTCATTGGCAAGAGAAGTAAGATTGATTAGCATGAAAAACCACACAAGAGTAAAAACAGATCTTTCAAC